GGAAGTAGACTCTGTAATTATAAGGAGGAAAGTAACATTCTTCTTGCCTGGCTGTGCTGCGTTCGGAGGAGGGTGCCTCTGAGTCCAGTAGCAGGCAGCTGGAAATGCCTTTCTGCCAGGCCATAACAGCAATCCCCCGAAATGCCTCACTGGCCCAGAGAAGTGGGACTTTGTTCCAGAGAGGGAGCTGGGTTAGTCTGCTCCAGCACAAACCACGAGGGGTCCTGGGGCACCTTAAAAACCAACCGACTTATTTGGGCATCAGCTTTCGTGGGCGGGAACGCCTGCCCCGGGGACTCCTCGTCTAGCCCCCCCTTTGGCGCCCACATGGGCAGCCTAGGGAAGCTAGCCCAGGACCCCACTGTCTGAGGAACTGGTAGAGCGGTCGCAGGGCACAGGACGTGGTGAATCAGAACGCGGCGCGTATCCAGACACACTGGGAAACGCTGCAGCAGGGTGGCCTGCCCTCTCCTACAGGGCTGGGGCCCACAAGCTGGAGACTGCACAAGAGGGAAAGGGCAAGTGGACTATTTCAGGTGAAATTGGACGGAGTCAGACTCCGGCCACAGGGTATAGAATGAGAACAGCCATCCGCGGATATGTTCAAACCCAGCATCCTGAGACTGGCTTACACGCCTTGGGTATGTCTACACTACCACCCTAGTTCGAACTAGGGTAGTAGTGTAGACATACCCCATGAGACTTATTCAATCATTTATAACGTAATAAATGTGATGGGGAGCCATGCCCCCCACACCCATGCTCACACCCAGCCCCCTTTGGCAGCAATCTCGGCACAAAATATGTCTCGTGCGGGACTGTGTGAAAATGACTCAGTGGCTGGCCTGTGTCAGCAAGTGGGGCAGGCTTCCCACTGGGTTCACGCAGCCACCTGGAGCCCACAGCAGGTGAGACAGCAGCTAGAATCTGTCAGCAAGTGGATGATCCCCCAGTGGGTCACTAAAGATCATTGGGGGGCGCACAAGTTTAAAGCAAAGATTTCATTTTTCCCCTTCCTGCCCCCTTCTCCCGCCTGGCAGGGCAGCCCAGGGCGTGCTCCAGCCCTGCCAGGAACTCATTGCAACCCACAGCTTAGTGCTAATTTTGGTACAGTCATTAAATGGCTATTGGGTGCAGTCATTAAACGGCTATTGGGTGCAGTCATTAAATGGCTATTTGGTAATTGGGTACAGTAATTAAACGGCTGTGCTAACTCCAGGTTCAGCTCTCAGGACTGAACCAGGCCCCAGCATGTAACATGGAAGCTCAGTGCCTCCATCCTGGCCGTAAGCTTCCCACCCCCCAGCTGTTCTGGGTGGAGGAGAGAGCTGAGCTTTCCGATCCAGCATTCTGGTGGTGGGGCTGTTTCGCCAGGGACTCCTGGGATCAGACCTGGGAGTGGAGTTAGCCCTGGAATCCAGGAGTCTGCATGGGCTGATTTCCTCCCTGTCTCTTTGCAGGTCTGGGGCTGGCAGATCCGTTTGTGGGTGAGTGCTGCGTGCGTCTCTTTCTGTGAAATCAACCCGTGTCCACAGTGCCATGAGCCTGACACTGACTTTAATCTAAACACTCCCGCATCTGTCCTCTGCCTTTGGGAAATACAGCTGTGCAAACAGCTGTGCCTGGCCCCTCCCCCAGCTACCATCTCACTTCCGGTGTGCGTGCACCCCGTGCCCAAGGGCTTTCCCCCTCGCAGTACTAACCAAGGTGGGGAGTGCAGACTCAGCAGTCTCTTAGGGTATGTCTACACTACCCCCCTCGTTCGAACTAGGGGGGGTAATGTAGTCATACGGAGTTGCAAATGAAGCCCAGGATTTGAATTTCCCGGGCTTCATTTGCATAAAGCCGGCCGGCGCCATTTTTAAATGCCGGCTAGGTCGGACCCCTACATTCATTTGCAACTCCGTATGACTACATTACCCCCCCTAGTTCGAACGAGGGGGGTAGTGTAGACATACCCTTACTGCCGCTGCATTGTATCAAGGGTGGCTCCACCTCTGGCCCCCTAGGACCAGGTCTACACTGCAAATCAATGCATGATGCACGTCCAGCTCCGTGAATGGCCTCGCTGGAGCCCCAGCATGCCTTGCACCAATTTTCTGGTGTGGCCCCACTACGGGAAGTTGAGGGAGGAAATGTTCCCCGTGACTTTCCTTACTCCTCGGGCAGCAGGGTCTGCGTTTCACCCAGCAACAGCCAACCAACCAGTCTCCTTTCATCGTGTCAGTCGGATTCTGACAGGGTCTGGCCATATCATGGCCCTCACTCCAGGTCTACTCTTACTGGATCTTTCTAGGAGCTCAGCATTTTGGAGAACTCCACTTATGAGAACCCTGTTACCCCCATGAGAAAAGCAATGGGGTTGTGAGCATTGACAACTGACCCTGCTCACACAGGTGTTACAGGGACAAGTTACATGTGTGTCCGCACTGGGATTTCCTGACTACATGCGAGAATCCCATCTCGGTCAAGCCAGATGCAGACTTTCTTCCCAAAGGCCTGTTCTCATCAGGATGAGGAGAGGCTCATAGCTTGAGTGTTGGGTTTATGCTTGGCCAGAACTAGGCCTTTTAGACCATTATCCCTGTTTGTGCCATGGTAGCCAGGAGGAAAGGCCTGCCAGGCTCGACGCAGACATTGGCAGAGCTGTAGCTTGCACATCGGTGTGTGCGTTTAGTAGCTCAGCGTTGCAGAGATGATGCCCAGGCGTGCAGATCTTCGGTCATGGTTCAGGTTGATGCCAAAACCCACCTCTAGATGGAGCTGTGTGTGAGTCCCCTGAGGACAGGTGCAGTCGCTCAGGGAAGGGAAGAAACCGTGATTAACCCGTTCTCTGAGATGTGTCCATGTCCAGCTGATGATCTGCCCTCCTTCCCCTCTCTGCTGGAGTCGGGCTGGTAAGAAGGAGCTGAGGAAGGTCTGCGGTGACTCCACCCCACAGTGGTGTGAGGCGGTTGAGGGGGCTTATGCCCCCCTGACAGGCACCGCTACGGGAGAAATCTCTGATTCTGGTGCACAGGGCGCACGCCCACCTGAAGGGGAAAGGACGCAGGCAGCACCCCCTTGCAGAGCACAATTACAGAACAGGCTAATCACTGGTTTGAATGCCCCTGGGGACAAGCAAGCTAGCTGGGTGCGATGCAATCGGCAAGGTGCAGGAATCTTTCCCCTCTAGAGTCCACACTGTGGCTTTTGTCCTTTGCCTTTCTCTGGCTCCTATGGCCTTGTTCCCTCCCCATGCAGCAAGGGGAGTTCCGGGCCACGCGGGGGCTACGTCTACACTGGCACGAATTTCCGAAAATGCTTTTAACGGAAAAGTTTCTGTTAAAAGCATTTTCGGAAAAGTGCGTCTAGATCGGCAGGATGCTTTTCCGCAAAAGCACTTTTTGCGGAAAAGCGTCCGTGGCCAATCTAGACGCGGTTTTCTGCAAAAAAGCCTCGCTCGCCATTTTCGCCATCGGGGCTTTTTTGCGGAAAACAGTCCTGTGCTGTCTACACTGGCCCCTTCACGCAAAAGTCTTTCGGAAAAAGACTTTTGCCCGAATGGGAGCAGCACAGTTTTTCCGGAAAAGCACTGATGATTTTACATGAGATCGTCAGTGCTTTTGCGGAAATTCAAGCGGCCAGTGTAGACAGCTGGCAAGTTTTTCCACAAAATCATCTGATTTTGCGGAAAAACTTACCAGTCTAGACACAGCCAGGAAGTTCAACCTGCCAAATCCTTCCCACCTTATATGGTGAGATGGCCCCTCTTCAGCCCTGACTGTGACGGGGCATGGCTCCGCCTCCCCCGCCACTTCCTGGGCTGCTTCCTGGCCAAACAGCCTTGAGGAGTCGTGCAGTTTCTGGGTAGTGTTGAGGCTCCAGCCGCAGGCCCTTCTGGGGGTTTGGTGGATCAATCTGGCTCTGTGATTGGACACTTACCTCTTGGCTTGTCATGTGCTATTTCTGCCAGCAACTGACAAGGTGGCGCTCTTGGTGGGGAACAACCATTACTGGAACCACCCTCACCTGATGGCCCCCGTCACGGATGTGTTTGAGCTCCGCCTCCTCCTCAAGCGACTGGGCTTCCGGGTGGTCTCTCTCCTGGACCTGAACAAGGCTGAGATGCTGTCAGCTGTCAGCCGGTTCCTGCAGCTCCTAGGGAAAGGAGTCTATGGTAAGGTGCGAGCCGAGAGCCCCTTCCGCAGGAG